GGTACTTGAAGCTAAGAACGTATTTCAGGACTTTATATCTAAAAATATGTAACATTACACCACCATTGCCATTTCACCACAGCCTCTCACGGAGCAGTCGGGCTGAACAGAAAATGGTAAGATAATCTCGACAGCCTGCACTCCCCAAGAAGAAGTATCTTACAGAAAAAAAATACATATATTACATGAAGTATTCTGACATTTAAAGTTTTGCATTTTGAGGGTAGGACAGAATATCCCATTGCAAAACAAACCAAAAAATAAAACGAAACAAGGCAAACTGTACACATTCGTGCCCTCCTTAGCTGCGGAGAGTCGCTAATCGCGACTGCATCGCTTCAATGTCTTCCTCCTCGTCGACAGCAGCGGCCGCTCCCATGGGTTCGGGCTCTGGAAGAGCATCTGTGACTTTACTCGGTGCTTTACCCAAGGCCCCTGCAGACAACAGACAGGCTCGTTAGGTGTGTTAGGTCTTAAGAATTAGCAACTTTCAGGAATATAATACTGAAAATAATTCAGCTTCTGGTAGAGGTCACACACAAGAACTGTCCGACTTTATCACAGAGTCACAGAATGGTTTGGGCATTTGGCAAGAGGGCACCAAACCCACGGTGGGCACAGGGCGACAGCGGGGCAGGAGCTGGGCACTGCCTGCAGCGCGTTACAGCTGAACACAGCTCCGGTGCTGGCATTTGTCACACTGTGTCACAAAAAATTCAGGGAAGGGGATGCTAAGCATTATCTAACTCATAACTACAACACTAGAGCATTACTTCACGAGCTGAAAGGCAGAAGTTGGGGCTTTTAGGGGGTTTTTGGGTTGTTCTTCTGAGTTTGATTTTGTTTTTTTTTCCTTAACAACTCCAGACCCTAACAGCATTTCACAGCCCAGACTCAAGGCAATGCAGCTGAGTTTATTCCCTGGCTTCATTAGTAACAGTGGATCTGCTCAACCACATAAATCTCACCTTGTTAAAAGGATCCCCTGTACAAACACTGATCTGCTAAAGCCTCCGTTAGAGCTGCACAGACATCAGCTGATGTGTGTTACTTGTGCTTTCCTGAACCGCACCGGCCTTCTCAGCCAGTACTCCCTGAGGAACCAGTTTGTCAGAGCGCTCTGCCTATCAGCGAAGGCAAAGACACCACTGGGAGAAGGCAGCAAAATCAGAACAGACCAAGACTTAAATTGCTGCGTCGTATTGAAGAGAGTGAGGGCAAAGCTCTGCTCTGGGCAATCACACACACACTCACCAGCTGTAATTTCAAAAAGGATTTTATCAATTTCCATCTCTGCTTCCTCTTCCATTTCCTCTTGGTCCTCCAGGCCTTCAAAGGTGTCCTCCAGCATTTCCTCTATAATACCGGCCTAGCGGAAAACAAAAAGGCAGCGCGTGATGCCCTTGGAAACAGCAGAGGAAGAGGACACGCTTCCTGCTTTCCAGACCAGGTTATGCCTATCCAGGCATTTACCAAGCGCTTGCTGCAGCTCAAGCTTTCAGGATCCACACTGCCCTGCTGCCATGAGGGCAGCCAGCGCACCCACCGGCAGTTTAGGCACATATCTGTACTACCGGTGCACAGGAAAAGCGGTGAGAAAACTGAGGATTAAACGCACACGTTCTCACTTTGAAACCCTCAAGCTATCGGTCATTGTTGTTGCATGTCTCAACACCAACAGCCCCGCTCGCTTCAGGTTCGCAGTTGTATTTCACACAGAATCACAGAATCACTCGGTTGGAAAAGACCTCTGAGATCATCATGTCCAACCGTTCCTGTCTACCCACTAAACCATATCCTTAAGTACCTCATCTACCCGCTCTTTAAATACATCCAGGGATGGTGACTCCACCACCTCCCTGGGCAGCCTGTTCCAGCTTCTGACGACCCTCTCAGTAAAGAACTTCCTCCTTCTCTCTAACCTGAACCTCCCTTGGCACAGCTTGGTGCCGTTTCCCCTTGTTCTATCCCCCATCAGCTGGGAGAAGAGACCAGCACCCACCTCTCTACAAGCTCCCTTGAGGTAGTTGTAGGTGGTGATGAGGTCTCCCCTCAGCCTTCTCTTCTCCAGGCTAAACAAGCCCAGTTCCCTCAGCCGCTCCTCATAAGGCTTGTTCTCCAGACCCCTCACCATCCTTGTGGCTCTTCTCTGAACACGCTCCAGAATCTCAACATCCTTCTTCTAGTGAGGGGCCCAGAACTGAACACACCGTGTAACATGCTGTAAAATCAGCATTTGACGCAGCTTCCTTTACTTTAATCCGCATTTGAAAACACTCCTTTGCAGGGCCTGCAACGCACGCACGGCCAAATTGTTCTGGTGCACAATGGTAAAATTAGTAATAATCTGGTTTGACCTAAACAATCTAGAGTGGTAAGAAGGTGAGGAAAAGCAAAACAGCTTCGGTAGTCCCAAAGAAAATGACCATTTTAGTTTAAAATCAGAGCACTTTCCCCAGATGGAGACACTAAGCTCGATGTAAACCCAGTAACAGCACAGCCATCCTCCTTCCATTCTCAACCCGAGATACTTTTTTCAAGCTTTACACCAAAGTGTTGCAGGTATCGCCAGGTCAGGGTTTTCCCCATACGCAGTAACTTGCTAGAAAGTCTATTAAAAAGCGATTGATGTGCCACTTCCATTTCTGGCACGCAAGCCCCCTGCCAAAGGGATCACCTAAGGGATTGCACAGCACACAAACACCCACCTCCTGCTCACCCAGGTCTCACTCACATTACAGATCTTACCTTCATCATCTCCTTGGACAACTCCCTCATCGTTGCTTGGATTTCAGGGATTTTCACTAGATTTTGCATGGCTTTCATCACTTCCGTGCTCTTCTGCAATGAACCTGCTACTCTCAGGACAGCTGTGAAGGAGAGGCATAGAAAAGCTTGAATGATCCCTGCACCACCAAAAGCAGAGAAACGACCTCCTCTCTAAGTGGAGAGAAATGTGGGTTTTAGGCAATTAAATTTTAAAAATTTAAAAAAAATAAACTAAAATTTTTAAATTAAATTAAATTTAACAATACTCTTTCCAGAGGCTATTTCTCTTACAAGCTTTTCTCATATATGTTGCTATACCAAGATCAAAATGCAATAATTAAAGGTACTCTGAGGTTCTCGAGTTGTGCCATCTAACTTTGCAGATTCCCAGTCGCAGAGAACTTACCTGTTTGTATATAAAACGGTCACTCCTTAACGAAGCAAAATGAAGGTACAGCACATATTATATTTCATTTTAATATTTCATTTCCTCAAGAAAATTACACTTGTAATGGTAACAAACTAACGGAAACCCTGCCTTCGGCAGTCATTTCCCAAGATGAAGCAAGTTAACACAAAGCCCAGACTGAACTCTAGGGTCCTTCCTACGGCTCGGGTAAGAGTATCAGAACATTCCCAGTAAGGTGAAGATGCCAGTAGTGGTAAATGAGGAAGAGTTTTTCTTTTCAAGGACACCTCAGCTGCAAGGATGGCCCCTGCTTCCCTTTCCTGAATGAGGTGCATGGGGACCCATGTTCAGCTTATCCTAAGATTACACCTAACGTTCACATTGTGACTCCTGTTTTACCACTCACCTACTGTCAAATTCTACCTCCACCAAGTTTTTCCCTGTCTTCAATGCTTTCTGCTCTGCTCTTGTTACGGGCTAAAACACTCTAAGGTATAGAAAATGTTGTGGCAAGTCTGGTACAGCAGATTTCTGATGTGGATAAGGGATGAGGGAAATATGCTGGTACTGGGGGAGCACAAAGGACCAAGTAAGTGTCCGAAGACTTGCTGGAGAAACAATAATTCACAAGGTAAAGGGAATTCTACCAAAGGAAATAAACCTCATGTTACAGATCCTGTCAAAATCAGTAACAGGCTCCGCAAAGATACAGGGACATTAGGCACAAATTCTGTTTAGGAACACACACTAAAAATGTGCCCCATGTTACCAGAAGAGAGCTCTGTTTCAGAGCACGTTGTTCTCATGTCACTTCAGGCTCCGAGGAGAGGTGTTAGACCATGGGCTGAGCAGCTGAGCAGCCAGTGAGGATCTAGGGAACAACAAGGGGCAGGAACCCCAGAAAGTTAACTGGGAGCTCCCTGAGCTCAGGGTGGGAAACCCATCCAGACAGGGCAGTGGGAAAACGGTCTCCAGAACAGACTGAAGGGGGTTATTGCCAACAGTTATAGGACTCAGTATGGGATGCAAAGGAAAATAAGATTTTTTTGAACCTAGAAAGACTTATTATGGGGTATTTTAAAGGGATGACAGGACTGTGATTCACAGAACGTTAGGGACTGGAAGGGACCTCAAAAGCTCATCCAGTCCAATCCCCCTGCTGGAGCAGGAACACCCAGATGAGGTTACACAGGAAGGCGTCCAGGCAGGTTTTGAATGTCTCCAGAGAAGGAGACTCCACAACCTCTCTGGGCAGCCTGGTCCAGTGCTCTGTTACATCACTGAGAAGAAGTTTCTTCTCCAATTTCAGTGGAACCTCCTGTGTTCCACTGAGTTGAACACGAGAAACTTTTTATTGGATGTTTACGGGAAGGACTGAAGGTGGAGTAAGGGAGGGATCAAGGTGGACCAGAGCTGATCACAAACCTCATGGGTCTACAGGGCCAGGTACCTGCAGCTCAGGCAGAGGAGAAGATCTGGGGCCAGTTACCAGAGAGTTGAGTGTCTGAGAGCAGCTACTGGTACAAGCCATACATTTCACATATGTGTATGTATATGTATTTTATAATGGACCTTAGTCCTAATCAGCTGAAGAGGAAGACCAGGATTGGGCTGTCAGTGCTGCTCATGTTTGTGTGAAAGCTGCATGTGTTTACAGGGGTGCCCACGGGAATGGGTGCTCAGCCTGGCTGGATGTGGGGACATGGAACTGCAGCAGCCTCACACCTCTGGGCCTGCAATGGGAGGAACTTCCCCGGGTCCTGAAGCCCCCTGGAATCAGCCGCCTTTCCCAAGGGTAGGACTGCTTCCAATTCAAGCTCTGCCTGCATTTCACCTTGGCTCTCAAAAGGGAAACCCAGACCTCACCTCTAAAGCCAGAAGCGCTCAGAAGTTGTTCTTACCAAGCTGGTTCTTCATCCCCATGAGAACCGAGTTCATGTGAGCTTTGGATGCATAGAGTTTGCTTACGGCCCTGCGAGAGCGGATCAGTTCCTTTGCCAAGATCACACACACGTCCTTCTGACCCTTTTTGGCAGCATCCTTTATTGACCGCTTCACCTTCTCCTCTTCTCTCTGGATATCTGAAGTGTAGAAAAACATAGTAAACAGTGACAAATTGCTAAGGATTTGGGAGAGAAACCAGGCATTTGTTGGGGTGTATTTTCAATGCAAAAAATTATTTCTGCTTGTTTCAGATTCTCTCTGTTCCTCAAAGACCTTGTTCTAGGCTGATTTACATGTTAGCTGATTAATTCAACTAAATAGGAGTAGGAAAACTCTCACTACTAAACATCCATCTCCTTTGCAATTAAGAGTACTGTAAAGGAGTGTCCATCACTGGATGAAGCTCAGATGGTAAAGATGAATTCTTAAAAAGCAAAAAAAGGTCCAGTAAGAGAAGCCTGCTTGACTTCCAACTTCAGAACAACTTCCTATTAAACTGGTCTGATACGAATATATATAAATACAAACACACATATAATATATACATGCACAGTTTAAGACTACTGTACTGATGTGCAGCTTACAAGATTACCTCTTCTGTGTCCATCACCAGATTGCCTCACTCCACCAGGAAGGAACAAAGTTGTCACAAGGAGTTTGAAACCAGCAGACTCAGAAGACAAATGGGCATTTTACCAGCAAAAATACTCCCCTGTCAGACGACGTTCAAAGCTTAACCAGTACGCCCACCTTCAAGGAAACGTGAGGGTTGTTGTAGGCATAGCTGTCCTCACTGTTTCTAAATCCCTGAAATGTGTTTTTCTGAAAAAAACCCCCACATTCAGAAAGATTGTAGAAGGCTGATATCACAGAGGCGAGAAAGTTATAGATATTAACTGCCTTTTTTTTAGGGGAGGGAAAAAAAAAAGCATAACCACTTATACAGTGAAGATGTGAGGGTGCGTCCACAATTTTAAGAGTTACTTAGAACCACAGATTTGTTAATTACTGCCAAGAAAAGCCTTCACCCTTGCAGACAGACAGAATTATTCCTCCCATCAGGCACAACTCATTGAGCCTTAGCTGGGTAGCCAGCCAAGTCCATACTGAGGGAGTTAAGCTCCTGAGTTTTCACTGCTCATTCTTTAAGACATGAGCGTTAGACGTCTGCATAAACTCCCACATTCAAATTATAAGCTGTCTGTCTGGTGCCAGAGCTATGGCTAATTTATCAGTGAAAACCAGATGCTGATAAATCGTTAGCTATAACCTAAACCAGCCTGTTCAAACTCTCCTGATGTCCAGCTTCATTTAACAGCATTACAAAAGAGCACGCTGGAGCAGCGGTACTGAACTAACCCTGTATAAAATGAGCACTAAATAGTTGGATTTGAGATATTGTACATTAAATAGGCTTCCCCAAATAACCCAGGTTTCTCTAGCAGATCCGCTGTGACTGTTCACATGTCTGCCTTGTCAGATACTGCTGCCTGTGTCCAGCACAATGCAGGTACCTCAGAAAGCTCTGAGTAAGAAATGCAGGAGCAGGCAGGGGCTACATCAACCCCCTTCCTTTTCCAGACTCAGCAATAACTTAGCCACTGATTAAATGTGGCTCTAAGCCAGTTTGTAAAAAAAAGATATCCTCAAGTAAATAAAGAATTTGGATAGTAAGGGTTAGGCACACTTTTAACCACAAGAACAGTTGTTTCTAGCAATGGCTTTGTTCAAATTTGATTTTGTTTGAGTCTTCTTGATTTATACCAGACAGCATCTAAGAGGTGATTACACACAGGCAAGAATCAAAGGTTGCCCTTTTACAAAAACAAAGGCATCAACACACACTTTTTGGCACAGCTGACCTGGAGGCTTCAATGCAGCTTCTCACGTGGGAGTTAATGAACCCTGTACTCAAGATGAGTCATTCTCTCAATATCATTCAATGGCCTCTTTACTCTGAAGGGCTGGCAGGAATCTGTAGGATTGTGATCAGAAAAACACACTCCTTGCTGCTCCCCCACTGATATCTGCAGAAATGTCACAAGCTCAAAGACATTTGTATGTCAGAGACAGGAGTGAGCAGTCCCAGCACGTCAGGACAGGTCAGAAACAGCTGAAGTGGTGCAGCAGAGCACAGAAAGCACCAGGAGTACCCCAGCAGTACTGGGGAATCATGACATTCTCTTTGGCAGGCTAAAAACAACCCCAAGTATTGAGTTGCTACACCCAACGGAGGGTAGTGAGGCCCTGTACTTGAGTGAATGCTTTCACTCGCATGACAAACTGCAGAATGTGACATTAGTGGCATAAAATATGCAAGAATGGTCGACTCCACCTTTAAAGGTCAATGCCAGCTCTGCAGCTCTAGTGAGCCAAGTCACTACGCCAGTCCTTTTACAGCTCGACCAAGCACAACAGAGCCACAAAGCCCAAGCCAAAGCACTTGTGAAGGGGGCTTGCAAGCTCAGTAAAGCAAAGTTACTGTATTACTCCAACTACACTGACTCCAAACAATTCAATTCTGAAATTGCAAGGACACCTTTCATTTCTTGAACCTCCCAAGCCCTCAAAAGCAGCCTACACCAAACAGAAATCACGACAGCAGCAGCAGTCCAACAACAGATGGCTTGGAGCAGCGTGCTGCTATATTGGTAACCGTGCTGACTGGGCCAACCGAGTGTTGGAGCGATCCAAGCCCACTCAGTTCGTCCCAGGTGGATCCGTGTCGTCGAATTAAAACACATCTATCACAGGGAAATGAAGACAGGTCCCGGCTCAGCATCCTTGCTTAAAAATTACAGCGACTGTCAGTGTAAATCTCACTGAAAATGATAAAGTATGGCAGAACCCAACTACAGTGGGTAGGTTTTGAGAAAACCCTTACAGGCACATGGCTGTCATCTTCAGCAGCAGCCTGCTCACCTGAGAAGTGCCCAGCTGAACCACACACTTCCACAGCTGACACTTGGTAAGATGCGAAATCCTAGCACAATATGCGCATTACAAAGATATTCTGTACTTTATTTTAATGGGATTCATCAGAATAGCAGATGGCTGGCGGTGAGTCTAATCCTTTAAGCGCTGAACTGTATTTCTTTGAATATAATACTCAGAAATACACATGCAGAGATGTTTAGAGCTGCTACAATAATTCAATTCACACCCACATCAAAGTATCACACCGCCACACAGCCCAATATCCACATAGGCCATTAGAAATATTACGGCGGGCACAACGCTGAGAGAAAACCAAAGTTTCAAGAAACAAACACATGGGTAGTTTGCTCCCATAGAAGATGCAACCTCTAAAATAATAATTTGCTAACAAGATCAGCCACATTTCACTTGCTCCGTGCCTGATGCAGCCACACCACGTGCCTTGGAGAATGCAACACAATTCACAAGCATCATGAACATCACTGTACATCAGTTTTCCTGGAAGAGGCATACACCCTGTCCTCATTTTACAGCTGAGGACAAAGACAGACTTTGCACTGCACGAGCACCTCTCTTCAACCAGCTCATACAAATGCACAAGTGGGAGAACCCCTGAACCCTGCCAGTTTACTCCAGTGGGGCTGCAGAGGAAAGGGAGAACGTACCCCAGGAGTCACTCAAAGCAGGAATGTGCCTAATGACCAGCTGCTGACATAAAATATCCTTCAGCACATCCCGTGGACCAATCCTGAGCACAGGGTAGAAGACAAAAAGGGGAAAAGAGAATCTAGCCCCAAACCTATTTTCAGATTCTGGGAAGATGAGCAGAAGAGAAAACAAGAAACTGAACTAGCAGCAGGGTAACAATAAGCAACTCCTCTGCTTTTCAAGACTGCTTCTAAAGTGTAATGCCTGTAATTTAATAGCAAAACACCCACTATGAAAAGTCATCTTTTTTTTTTCCTCCCTTCTCTCCTGTTTGCAATTTTCCCAAGCTACTTTCATTTAGCACATGCGCTTCATCCCAGTACATACCCAGTGAACCTTTTACATGTGGCATTACACGCCATACCGATACTATTCATCAGATCAATGTGGCTGAAGTTCTGGGTTATAAGACTAATTCATCTTATCAAATGGGATTTCACAGAATCACAGAATCACACAATCACAGAATCACTGGGTTGGAAAAGACCTCCGAGATCATCACGTCCAACCGCTCCTGTCTACCCCCTAAACCATATCCCTATGTATTTAAGAGCATGTCTTACTGGAAGCATACAACATTCAGGTTCTTCTGAAAATTTTACTTGGAGAACTTCACAGCGACATCATTTTGAAACACAGACTAAGTCAGGTCCCAGGATCACATTCGTCTTCCTTTATTTCAGATACAACAGAGTCCCCCAGGTTGTTAAGACTCCACAGCCTCCCCCATTTAAAGCAAAAAAACCTTGAAGGCAGACAGGGAAGGGAAAAACAAAAAATGAGACGTGAGTACAAACCTCTGATTTGTCTATCAATCACTCTCATTTCTTTCCTTATCTTCAAGGACCATTCATTGACCTTAAAAAAAACAAAGTAAGAGTTACTTGAAATTCCAACTTTAAAACTATGCTTTTATACTTTTGTGTGACCTCACCATTCAACATAAAGAAGCACTTCAAAATGCAGAGGCCTTAGATGTTGAGCGACGTTGAAATATTTCATTATTAAAATAAAAAAACCCCACACAACATTGCAGAGGTATTTTGCACTTCTCTTAACATTCACACAAGGGGTTAAGGAGGACGAGATCTGTGAAGCAGAGACACTGCCTGCCTGGCAGACTTCCCATGTCACAGCACAGGGGACGTGTGCCACAGAGGATTTCAGCATGAGGTAGAAACTTTGGCACGGGATGACAGGACCAAGAGTGCTGCTGCTTATTTCAGTCAGAAGGAACCCCAGGAGGTCTCCAAGCCAATGTCTTGCTCAAAGCAGGACCAAGTTCAGAGCTCAGACAGGTTGTCTGGGGCCTCATCTATTGACTTTTGACACTGTTCAAGGGCAGAGACCTCACAGACACGCTGGGCATGTGTCCCAGCACCTCATCATTCCTCTGGTGAAGACCTTTCCTCATGTCCAATTCAAAATTCTCCTCTGGCCACCTGTGGCTGTGGCCCCCTCTCCTGTCACTGGGCACATCTGAAAAGCACCCGGCTCTATCTTCACTACAGTCCCATTAGAGGCAAGTAACAGCTTTAGACCCTTGCTCCTTCACCTTCTCCAAGCTAAAACGAACCCAGTTCCCTCAGCTTCTCCTCCTGTCATGGGCTCCAGTCCTCCACCATCCTGGTGGCCCTCTGCCGCACTCTCCCCAGTTTGTCGATAACCTTGCACTGGGTGCCCAAACCAGGACACTCTTTTGCAGATGTGCCCTCATTAACGCTGAATGTAGCAGAGTAACTGAACAACCATGTGCCTTACCATGCAGCCCAGTTTGCCCTCATTGCTGCAAAGGGGCACTGCTAACACATTTATTACCCACAAGAAGCCCAGGTCCTTTCCTACAGAGCTGCTGCCCAGCCAGCCCCAGGCTGCACACTGCTCAACACCATGAAGATCTCTCTGCTGCAACATCTCTGGCTCCTCCGGCACAGGGTGCAGAAGGTGGGGAGCACCACTTTGATCAACCCTTTGGGGAAGTAGAGACATCAGCCAGGCAGCAGCTGCCAGACACCCAGCTGAGAACTGGATTTGTGGCAACGAGGGAAGCAGAGAGGGGCTGTACAACCCCAGAATCAAGACTCTGAGGATAACACGAGCATATCAACAGGGTGCCAAGTGCTTGTGGAGCTCTGATACTACTTTTATTATTAGCAGCACAGATTTTGCACAGTTTCTAAAAAAAAAACAACCAACAAACCCCAAGCATTAAGATGACCTCTGGCTGACGGATCCATTCGCAGTGGCACAGGCCCCTGCACAGGCCACTCAAGAAGTCCAGCTGGCTGTATGAACAGTTTTGTATGAGAATCACCCTGATTTTTATGTGACTTTTTACATTTCAAATAAAAAGCTTCCTCTACCTGGATAAGTTTTATAACAGAACTGGAAAAAGAGCGCTCTTCAGTGCACAAGCCCAGCAGAGCATGAGAGATTCTTAGACTTTCACCAGTCTCAACAGAAATGCTCTCAGTTGTAATGAACAAGACCATGTTTAGACTACAGACAACAACCATCCCCTGAGTTGCCAAAGCACAAAATCTCCTGCAAAAAAACTCAAATCCAAATGCCCTGCAGAGCTCTGTGCATGCACATTATGTGTGTGCAGAAGCTTTGAAGGGATTTCAGAAAGCTCCTGTACTTTTAGTTGAACCCTGTTTTATTACAAGGGGGAAAAAAACCCCAAGCCCTTGCAGGACCAACTGCAGCCTCCTCTCTTGTTCTTCAGAACAGAGCAGAAAATTTCATGTAGGTTTATTCCTCGTCCTGATATAAGGCTAAGAAGGTCCCTCTTTTGAGCATACCTACATCAGAGAAAGAAAAGCAGGGGAAAGACACTGAGGAAAAACATGATTGAACTCTTGCTGGCCAACTGTTCAGTCTCAAATGTAACATCTTCCAGAGGTTCACTCTACAGCTGGTATTCTAAAACAAACCAACATGCAAAAAGCCTTCATGTACATGCACAGTCAGCAACTGTCAAATGAACTACAGCCAGATTCACAGATTCTGCCTGTGATGCACAGCCCAGCACAAAGACACCATTAAACCACAGCTGGCCACACGTTGTCATCAATCCCTGCTAACTCTTACAGCAGAAAACTCTCTGATAGCTCACCCCTAAGCACTGCCCAGGAATAAACTGCTTCACACGACTGTTCTCGTAAAGGCAGAGCTGGGCACTCCCTGGTCTTCCCAGCCCTCATCACCAGTTTTGGGGGAGGAAATCCCATTGACTGTCACCTAGACAACTGCATGCTTCCAGTTACACGAGACACTGCAATTCATGAAGGAGTAAAGAAGCTGCAGTGCCGATCGGATGCAGGACACCAGGGATATGGCTACAAACCACTGCACAACGTGGCACAAAGTAGCAATGCTGGGAATAGAAGCACTTCAGTCAACTAATTACCCCAAGCACAACTCCACGCTGATGAAGCTATTCCACTTCCAGTAGTGACAAAGAAACCTGTTGTTCTCACAGCACTGCCTCACACCAGAGTCAGCCAGCAAAACACTAAGCTGAAATAAGCCACTCTTTTAGCTCAAAAAATCCAAACATGATATTAAAAGAATAATAAACTCCCAGCTTTAGACAGGCTAAAATGCATCACTGGCTCCTCACAAGGACTGAGTATGTTTGCCTTGTATCATTCACAAATAAATTTGCTCCCATTGACGGAGAGCAATGACAAATGAACCCAGGGTGGTTCACTGCCACCACAGAAAACTCCTATCATCAACCTATCAAAAAACTCTCATATCATCAGCCTGCTCCTGCGGTGCTCAAATTGCTTTCTTTGGCCACACTCAGGGACAGTATCTAGTGTAGAGCTGCCGGCAGACACAAGGTAACTGGTGGTGTTGCCCCATCATCCAGTAAGCAGAAATAACTTCTTCTTTCTTCCAAAGCTGCGCAGTTAGATAAAAGAAGAAAGAAATTTCTTACTATCAATGGGTTTCCCAGTATCTCTGTTTCGCCCTGTGAAGTCATCGTGCCAGCCCGCAGTCCAAGAGCGTGCTCATGACGGCAAGATGACCTAAGTCACTCCTCCCTACAGGTGAGACACACCTGTTTTAGAGCACCTTTGCAAGCTTTTCTGCAAACAGCTCCAAGATGGCCTACAGACACAGCTGTGTTACTGGAAAACACGACAAACTTGTCGGTTATGGAAGGGGAAACAGCAGTCACTGGACATGAAACAAGAACTTAGCACAGTACAACCACATTGTGTGGGTGAAACAGCTGTCTGCTGCTTTAGCCCACCACTGAGAGCACCAGCCTCCAAACCCCAGCCTTCCCTATGTTATCTTCCAGCACCACTCATGAATGGAGGAAACTATAACGGACCTGCACGGTGCCCTGACACAGGCAGAGAAGGGAAAGGACACCATCAAAGGTACAGTCCTCATCGAACACTGTCACCCCACAAGCAATGACTGGAACCTGCTCCCCAGGGACTTGCTTGCTACAAAGCAGCAGGGAATATCTGTGACACTGCAGCTTTTCTAAGCCTTCAACTTCAGTATCTGTCACCTTCCCCCTGTTGTTTTTTTAATACCTCTAATGTATTTGATCTTTCCCCGCAACAACTAGCAGGTTTTTTAATTAACATATTAGTAGTGATTTACAAAAGGCAGCAGTGAAATACATCAGTATCTTGATTATTTCAATTCACTCGCTGCTGAGGCTGGGTCAGAGCTCACCGGAGCTCCCCGCCCGCTCCAAACCCGCCCCCCTCAGTCCCAGGCCAGGTGCCGTCTGGGGAGGGTCCTGACACCGCGGTGCTTTGCCCAGACCGGGCCCGGCCCCTCCGCAGCCTCCAGCCGGCGCCATGGCAACGCGATCTAGGCCGCCGTCCCCG